CCCGCTCAACCTGCCTCAGCGGGTGGTTTTGACTGTGAATGGATGTGATGGTGAATTAAAGTGCACGTAAATGTAAATGCACTTTGGCAGGAACACGGAGCACAGGGTGAGGCTGGGCATCGCTGTGGGACCCTGCCCCCACTCTGCCCCTCAGCACTCCCGGGTACTGGGTCTCTCCGCTGGGCATCCCGCCCTCATCCTTCCATCTTCTTTCCCCAGGTGAGCCTTGAACCAGGATGGCTGAGCCCCGCCAGGAGTTTGACACGATGGAAGATGATGGTGGGACGTACGGGCTGGGGGACAGGAGAGATCAGGGGGACTATCCCCTGCTCCAAGACCAGGAGGGTGACACGGACCACGGCCTGAAAGGTGAGTGGACGGCCATGCACAACAGGCCCAGCCACCATGGGGACCAGAACCAACCCGCTTGCTCTGGCAAGGGCTGGCAGGAAGCGTTCATGTCCAGATATTTAAAGGAGTTTTAAAAACTTTGTTATGTTAGATTATCAGTAGAGTGAAGCCTCACCAATTTGAATGAGCCAAGATAACTCAAAATGTGAGGTTTTTTGAAAATTTACGTTTCCAAGGAGAGTTTGCCACATGAGTGAATGCAGTGTGACAGGGGCTGCAGGGGCTGGCAGTCTCGTTAACACCAGGGCTCTCTGGAGTCTTTGGCCACACCCGTTAGCCTATAAATCAGTGCTGTTCATCAGCAGGTACACTACGTGGCTTTGTACACTATTTTAAATCTCTTCCTTGAGTCAGGCCTGTCTGGCCCCTATTTGGCAAGAGTTGGTTAGGTCGGGGATTCTTACTGTATCCACGTTAATAAACTGTATCAACTTCTAAATATTCTATAATACAGCCTTTGGGCCAAATTGACTTGGCCGCCTTCCCTCCCCTTCCAAGCAAATGCGTTGCGTTTCGCTGGCTGACCGGCCTCTCTCCAGCTCCCTGTGCCGGCCCCTCACCCACTGCCAGGACACCAAGCTGGCCCAAGGGCTGGGTTGTGCCACAAGGATCTCTTCTACCCACGGGTGTGGCTGGGGGCCAGTGCTCACGGGAGAGGCCCACGATTCAGTAAGAAGGACTTGGTCCCTGCCTCCAGACCCATTTCT